GCACACAGGAACTTCAACAAAATGTTGTAGTGCAGGCTGTTCCTGTTTGGATTTCCAAACCTTCAATTCCAGTTCCCTTATAATTTATCTATTTAATTTAAATTCTGATTTAGCTACATAAGGAATAGTGCTTGAATAACTGAATTCTCCATTGTGCGTGGGTGGGTGTGGTGGGTGTGTACACACTGCCAGTACAGGAAAGAACCTTTCCATGTGTTACAATAAAAAAGGCAGCTTTGAAACAGAAGTTCATTAGCATGGTAACGATAAAAATAAAAGGCAAGAGGCACAGAGGTGTTAACTTTTATTATGTATCCCTGGATTTCAGTATGTTGGAGTGTGGTATGATAAAGCTCCACAGCAAAGCCACACACCCCAAAAGCATAATATCAGAAATCAGAGGTCTAATTTATGTCTGCTGCTTCCACTGGACACTTCTGTTCTAGCTTACATGTAGCTGTTTTCCTTGTCACCAGCATCCCAAGTCATAATAGCCTCCAGGCAAGCTGGCATGGATGTTATGGTGGTTTCAGGTCATAAATGCCAGGTCCTTTCAGGTCACAGATGCCATAAATTATCAATGCAGGCATATGTGTATACCTATCAGAGGAGGCATCCCTCCTCCTTTCTCACAAAGGAGGGAAAGCCGCTTCTGAGATGGTGCCTGGAGTGACATGTGTGCAGCCTCTAGGTTTCAAAGTCTAAAACTAAGAAAAGAGCTAGCTACTGTTTTAATTCCTATGCAAATTATATAGTTTTAAACCAGACAGAAGCTCATTTTGGCATTAAGCAGCATATAAACTAATAAATCAACATCATCAAAATAAAACGAGTAAAGAGGTCATGCTGTTAACTGACCAACATTTCTCCAAGTGACAGCTCTCCTAGGAAGGTCTGTGGACTGATTTGCAAGGCTGCTTTAAGTTGGCTACACCTGAGCTGGCTTAAGGGTGGGAGACAGAGGGCCATCTGTCATGGATGCTTTAGTTGAGATTCCTGCATTGCATGGGGTTGGGCTAGATGACCCTTGGGGTCCCTTCCAGCTCTACAATTAGAAGATTCTATGATTCTATGAACTGTGGCCCTCCTGTTGCCCTTGAGCCTCAGCCATCAAGACCAAATGGTCAGGGTTGAGATCCAGCAGCAGCAAGCAGGCCATAAGGCACCTCCCATTCCGGATATAAGTCCTATCTGAAGGGCCTTCAAAATGCCATTTTTAAAAAAGGTGAAAGCAGGTCGCGCTGGAAGAACACAGATGATTATTTTTGCTTTCAGATGTGGAAAGTGTTGGGGGTTGGCTCTCCCTGCACCAACACAAGCTACATATACGTTATCATTCAGTTTTATATTACTCGGTCCTCCCTTGCAACCTCTCTCACACATACCCCTGTAGAACCAAAGCAAACTTCAGCCACCCAAGTCTGATGAAAATGAGTTGTATTCATAGAACCTTAGAACTGTAGAGTTGGAAGGGATCCCAAGGGTCATCTAGTCCAACCCCTTGCAAAGCAGAAATCTCAGCTAAATGGAAGGATGCTCTAAGTAGCTCCACTGAAATTAATGAGCATGTCTGACTTGAGTCCATTTGTAGTCTCATTAAACTGCCTCCGAAATTCTTTGTTGGAAAACCAAAGATCCTGGAAACTCTAGTTTGTTAAGGGTGCTGAGAACTGTAGCTCCGGGAGGGGTACCCTACAGTTCCCAGGATTGTTGGGGAGAAGCCATGAGCTTTAAATGTATGGCATGGATGTGACCTTAGTTGGACACAACCAGTCTTCAGTGCATCTTTTCAGGTGGTCCTTTGCTTTAAGACAAGATAGTGGGGAAGGGGACTCAGCTAGCAGAAAGCTCCCCCTTCAGCCTCCTGTGCCACAAAGGAACATCATATTCAGGCACCAAGCCTCAATCTGTGTACATTTACCACTGAAATAAGAGTATTGCTTGAACTTTGGTATTCAGCCTGGGGGGGGGGGGGGAATTTAGTACATTAAATAAAAACAGGAACGATCTTTCTAAAGGCATCTGGCAGGAGACAGGAAAAGGAAGATTTAAAAGTCAGTCTTCACCCAGGTGACTGATCAGTTTCAGTTGCTCAGGTTAACAACTTTCTTTATTTTCCCCCTTTCCTTTTCTGCATTTGCTTCCAAAACCTGAAGTCAATAAGAAAGGGGGGGGGGATACGTCTCTCCCTTGCAAGCAAAGTCCATGGTGAGCTGGAGTCGACTGGCACGCAATTTGCCCCCAAACAGATTTCAAATTGGCTCTGTTTCCTGGCAATTCGTAGCTAACTCTCCCAAGCCCTGCAAGAAGACAAAATTCCCGCCTGTTGAAAGCTTCTTGTTTCACAGCCGCCTCCTCCTCCTCACTTCACTCCTTGACGATTCTTGCCGAGTAAACGTCTTGGCACAATAAGACAGCCAGTCTAAAAGCCGCCACAGCACAGAATTTCAAGATAGTAACAGCAAGTTAAAGCACACAAGTCACACACACACACCCCGCCCCTACTCCCCGCAGGCAATGCCTCTGTTGTACCCATTCCACAGACAGCTTAAGAAAATATTTGCACCATAAAAGATGAGTGCTTTTTGGCTGCCTGAGACGGCACTGTAAACTCCCCTTGATCTCCCTTGAGCTGCTGTAGATCACTCAACAGGTCAGAAAGAACTATTCTAGTAACAGCCTTCTGTGCAAACCACAGGTAAACAGCTTTTCACTTTAAAGAAAGTTGCGGAGAAGATGTCTCTTTCTGCAAGAAGCTACGCTGCATGTTCCCCAATAAAGATCTGGATATTAGCAAAGGGAAGCCCTTTTCCCTCACACACCCCTCAACTCAACTGTCTCCCCTCGAGACAGTATTTTGTGCCACGGCTGGCTAAAATCTCTTGGGGTAAAAAGAAAAAAACCCGAAACCTGAACAACTGTTGACAAACACTAGTGGTGCTGAAGTGAGTTGTAAACAGTCGTCTACAGTAGGGCAGAGTGAAGCACCAGCCGCAGGGTTTGAAGCATCGCTCTCTTCTCTCCCTACGACTATCTCAGCTAAAACCACCAATGCAAACCTTCCCCCGCCCACTCCTCCTTCCTCCTTTCCTTCTTTTTAAACACTCAGCATTCTAAGCCACAGATTAGGAACCCTGTCAGCGTACTCCTGGCTGAAAGCGGTTCAGACACATCTGCTGGTACAGTTATGTTGAAAACTACAGTTTCCTCAGGTCACCCAAATCCCTCCAGCTCATCAGAGTGCTAAAACCTTTCCAAGTTTCTCAAAAACAATTACTTCTGGGGAAAGCAGTTGGAAGAAAAGGAAAGGAAAGGAAAAGGAGAGGGAATAACAACAAGAATAATGTATACAAAGTAGAAGGCCATGTGCCAGCAGTTAACTCTCGGTCAGTTTTGGGCTTTATTTTCCAGTTTTCTCCCCACCCCCTCCTTCTGTTTTCATCCCTCAGAGACCTAACATGCTGTAGTTTTGTTTTTAAGAAGTGAATTTAACTGCCAGGACTAAGGAACTGTGTGTTCTTCATACAAAATGCACAAATCTTCAAACACCCCCTCCCCACTTCTAAGCAGCTTGAGAAAAACAGGCAATAATTTTGTAATAATAATACCAGTAATAATAATAGCACGACTTAGTGTTCCGCCCAGCAAACAAGTACATGACCTTACATGTCCCTGTGCACAGAATTGCAATCCAGATCTCCAAATCACATGTAGGAGGACTTAAGCCTAACTTCATCTAGACACTTCTCCACAGGCAAAATACAAAGGGCACCTTCGGTTCTCCACCCAAAAGGTCCACATACAACCTGAGGACTACCGGCTATTTAATTTCAAAGCATCATAAATGCAATCAAGACCTTTGGCATGCAAAAATGTCCCTAGGTTGCTTTTTAAAAAGTAACAACAGTAATAACAATGACAAAGGGCAGAAAACGAGGCGCACAGCTTTTGCAAAACAATTTCTGGCCAGCAGCAACACCTCCATTCATAAAAGTGACGAAGGAGTGGAGGGTTGCCTCCAGTCTCCTTTGACAGATCTAACTCTCCGTTGTGTATTGTGCAGCCCGCGCCTTCAAGTGAGATTTACCAGCCCCTTTCCCGTGAAATTGCCTCCCGTTTCATCGCTCTGGGTATTAACAGTCCTGCAGCCCCCAGCCCCTACAGCGCAGGAATGTTCCCGGAGCTGGACGCTTGCAAAAGCTGGAAGAGTGCAAACCTTTGCAAGGAGTCCAAAACAGGGGACTCTGACCCATCCCTCGGGGTCCCTCTAGCGTCCCCAGGCCAATATTGCAGAACGGGGGTCTTAGGGGGGTTGTTTTTCCTGACTGCTCCGCTAACCCGAAGTCTGCCCACCGAAAGTTGTGTGTGTTTGTGCGGTATGGTTGGTTTTTTAAAAAAAGAAAAAGTATGCAAACTCTCGCTCCGTGCAGCCGGTCCCCTTTGCAGCGCGAACTTTCTGCAAAACGCTTGCACAGCCGTTGCGAGAAGGGGAAAACCGCCTCACAAAAAAAAAAAAAAAAAGGTGTGCAAGGCGGCGGGGCGGGGAGACGGACCGCACAACTCCGAGGCAGAGTGCGCAAAGTTGTGGGTGGCCAAAGGAGCCCAGGACTTGGAAAAGTGCTCGCGTCCCTCTCGGGAGCCGAGCGCAGAAACTTTTGTGCTTCTTCTCCAAGACGGGCTCCCCATCCCCGGCCGGACTCCAGCTATTGGCTTCTCTTTTTCTGCAATCGGTGTGTCCTTCGGTGAACTCGAGAGCCCACGGAGCGACGGGAGAGAGCGAGAGAAAGAGACGGAGCGCGCAAAAATAAAATAAAAAAGAGCATCCCAGGGGGGAAAACCGCACGAATGTGGCAGCTTTGCTCTCGGGGAGAGCTGCTACTCCGAGATGCTGCTGCTGCTCTGCCCTCCGCGCCCTGCACCCTTCCTGCTCGCTGCCCTCCGTCCGCCCGGTTGCTTTGCAAACGGGAGATAAGTCTCGGCTGGTTTGCTTTTCCCCTTACCTTTGAACTGCCACAGCTGCTGCTGCTGCTGCTGCTGCCGCCGCTCTCAACTTCTTGCGTGCAGATTTGGAACAAGGCTGGGTGGCTGTAGCATTCATCCATGTGGTTCCTCTGCTCTCTTGACATCGTGAGGCTGCTTTGCTGGGTTCTCTGGCTGTATTTGGTATAGCAAGTCCCTTTTTTGAAAGAGAAATCTCTGTCTGTCTGCATATATTTAAGAGGTTTCCTTTCCCTCACCGCCACCACCTCTCTCTGTCTCTCTTTCTCTGTCTGCCTGTCTGTCTTTGCTGCCTCTTTGCGTGGGTCTGGTTTCCAGAGGCAGCGCTGGTGGGGCTTCCCAGTAGCAGCTAGAGCCTCAATTAACTGCTCCACAGCTGAGGAGACAGACTGAGAGCGCTCACTGTCCCTTCTTTTATACACCCATCCAATGGGCATGCTCAAACTTCCAGCCATCAAGGTAGCAGCCAATAAAATTGCAGAGGTTATCTAACCCCTCTCATTCGCCCCCCTCCTTTCTTAACCTCCTCCCTTTTAATTTTTTTAAGCTCTCCTGAGACTCCCATTTGGAAGACACACAAAAAAAGTTCCAATAGTATGGTTGGGGGCTCTTACTTCATGGAGAGCATTCCTCGTCCTCCCCCCTCACAGGAAAGAGGGGGAAATGTGGAGGGTGGGTTTGCTTGCATGCATGCATGCTCCATAGATATATAGATATATATTTCTTTGGTGAACTAAATAAATGCTATTGGGATTGAGAGATGTCAGCACCTTCAGGCTACCCAATGTTTAACAATGATTTGCCTTTCATCTCACTGATTGAATTAATCCTCCTTTTTAATGTAATCAAAGCTCAGGTCAAGGAAAGAGCTCTGCAGTCATGCTCCAGTCACACTGATCTTGTTTATCAGTGGCTATTGCCCACCTAAATTGTTATATGTAAGAGCAACTAAAGACAGACCCTGCCAACTTGCTCTGGGGAAGGGAGATCAACCCAAAAGCTCCTGATCTCAAGATCTTACTCAAACTCACTGCCCTAGGAAGAGTGGGTGCAATGTTGAAGGGATCTACTTCACCCAAGTGCACCTCAATTTCTATAGGAGAAAAGGCAGACCCAAGGGGTGATCTTGGGCACTGCCACACCCACCCACCAACTTCTCAATCCCCTACAAGAGGCTCTCAAGGTGTTTCCTCTATGGGAGATGTCCCAGGGTGCTTGCCAGTTTCTTAGTATGTTTACTCAGCCCCACATTATCCCTGTCTAAAGTTGTAACAGCCTTCATGTGGATTTAAGAGAAGCAAGGTAGACACCGCTTCAGATGGATTCTTAGTCAGCATAGCAGAAAGCCTGAAAGGAACGGAAAAAACAAAACAAACACCAGTCTCCCACAATCCAGTAAAGGAGCCCTTGGGAAAAAGACCTGCCCTCTTGTCCTCTAGTGGTGATCTGTTGTAGCCCCACAGAGCCTGGGAAGGGCAGCTTAGTTATAAATTGTTTCTATGGGCTGTATCCAACTTAACACAATTAGGAGGGTTTTGGTTTTTGTTTTTAAAGGTGCTGTTAATTATGAATGGGTTTTTCTCCTTGAAATTGACAGTTCAGTTTTCTTTTGATCAATTGTCTTATTTTCCCATAAAAATCTAAACAAGGGAGTCAGTGTTAAACCGATAAGCTTTTGTCATTTTTTATGAAAAGTGTAGGACAATCTTTCTATATCAAAATAGGTCCACAATTCTTGCTCCCCACGTTTTTTGTTTGTTTTTTTCTGGTAACAAGACAAAACTTTTATTAACCTTTGAAACACCAAATCTAGGAATTGGTAGAATTGTAGAGTTTGGCACTAGCTAGATAGAGCTTCTTCTTCTCAGCTTTGGTGCTGCCTGAGAGTAGCAAACCTTGAATTATTAACTATCTTTATTTTAATGATACATCTTTAGTGCATACAGAACTTCAATCACTCAGTTAGCCGAGCTGAGTAACACACCATTAATATATAGCCTACATATTGATGCGGTTCCATTTTTGAAATCCGGTGTAGATTAATCCATGGTGGGATTGGTTCCTTGTGACTGGCATCCTTGTTAATCATTCATAACTTCATTAACATCGCTGTTGATTTGGCTCGCCTGTTCAGAGAGACATAGCATGATCCTTATATACCTTGAAAGGTACGCTGGCTCCACATTCACATGTAAACAAGCTTTTGCTTATGAAGCTCTTGATCCTGAGCAGGGCTTAGTCACAAACACTTTTATCAGCCAGTGGGGCTCTTTTGCCTGTTTAAAGTCAGCATGAATGGGGTCTAATTTTTCCAGATGTTTGAAGTTAGTCCTAGCATGAATGGGATCTAAATTGGCTAGTAATGTTGCCCATTATCTGCCACAGATCAAATGGGTTATGCTGCAAAAACACACAATGCAAAATCAGAGGAGCATCACCAAAAACACATCCATGCTGTAAACACTTACCTGCCAGTATTTTTCATTGTCTCCAGGATCAATGTCTAAGAGACCGGATAATCTGAAAGTAGGTGAGAGGGAACCGGGTGACCTAGTGTCTCCAGAATCAGCATCACAACACTGTTTTCCAAATGCGTACTTCTATGCTGGAATATTTGTGACATTGAGAAGATATAAATGTCAGCAAAATTAGGACAGAGGGAAGGGGAGATTTTACATACCGTACCTGTTTTCCTTTGGTCTCTGAAGCCACTGTCACTGCTGTTAGGAATGCTTTACTCACAAGTTAACCTTACTGCCCAGAGGGTGACGATGGTTTTAAATGGATTATCATTCCCTAAAACTATGTCCAAAATTATAAGGCACTGGTTATTTATTCACTCAGTGAAACCCATTAGCTAGCTAGAAAGAAAGGTTAAACTTCTTAACAAATTATATTCCCATATAGGAAATGATACGGTGAATGTCCACATATGTTTTTTTCTGTACGTAATGTGTATAGATAGTTACAGATGACAAATACTGCGTAATGGAAAGGGTCCTTTGGTCTGTAATCTGTGGTTAATGGCTAATGGTTTAGAGAGAGAGCTGACCCATTGATTCTCTTCTCCTCTGCCAGTTGGAGGCATCTCCCTTGAGTAGATAAAGGAAATTTATAAAGGGTGGGGGGTTGTGCCCTAAGGAAGACAAAATAGGCTTGTAGCTAACAACTGAAAGCAGAAGGATGGAAAATACAGCAGAATATTTCTAACCAAACGGAGACTCTCCAGAGTGTGTTAGTTTCTCCAAAGCTGTAAAAGCCAACCAGCACTGACAAGTCTCCGCACCAGTCCAAGCTACGTAACCAGCGTCACAAGCTGCCATTGGTGTGCTTGTGTTTGTTTGTTTCTTTGATCTTAATTGCAGCTTAGCTTTCCCTGAGTGCAAGTAAATAGGACATGCTGGAGAAGAAAAAGGCACAAAGGACAGAATAGCCCAAGACAAGAGCTATTGATCACAAGAGACAGGTTGTTTTCCCTTGCCGTTTGGAAGTCTGTGTCTGACAGTGGGCAAGAATCACATGAAAACTTTGAAGCATCACCACCCACAGTCAATACATGGTTGCATTTACATTTAACCATTTCATCCAAGATGGCAATTTAAAAAATACTGTATCAAGCAAGCTCTGAAACCACATCTACAAGAGCATTGCCATTCGTTGTGCTCCATGATGGAAAGTCTCCAGATAAATTAACACCCCAACCCCACTGCCATTCTGCAGAATCAAGTGCCTACACCATCCATAAGAATGAATAGAAAGGATACAGGCATGGAGAGGGGGACAAATTCATCTCTTTAAGCACACTGGCTGTGAGAAAAGGTTGGCAGTTAAAGGGTGGCAAAATCTGTTTTTATTTCTATGGATTGGTATGTACTCTAAGTACTTGTTTTTATTTACAGGCAATCCTCATTTGGCATTTGGGTTACATTCTGGGCCCCCATGAATGTCAGTGGGGCCTGCATAAAGCATTCTGCCCCACCCCCTTTCTGTCCTTTTAGTGATGCTTCAGTGATGTTTTCTGGTCACTTCCGGGTTTGGCATCTTGATCACATGCATGATTGCGCGTTGATCAGGTGTGCGTCAATCAGTTGTTGCCTTTATTTATTACATTCATGTACCACCTTTTCTTCCAAGGAGCTCAAGGTACTGTACATGGCTCTCCTCATCCCCAGTTCATCTTCCCAACAACCCTCTGAGGTAGGTTAGGCTAAGGGACGGTGACTGGCCCAAGGTAATCCAATGAGCTTCATGGCTGGGTGGGAATTTGAACCCTGGTCCCCCAATGTTCAAACCGGTATACCAGTTTTTCTCAAGTTGTTCCCCAGCTCCCATCATTTTGTAGTTAGAGGTTACCCTTCGAAACTAATTTCTAAACTAATTTGCATTCCATGCAGCAACTAGCCAATTCTTTAAGAAAGTTAGCACCAGGAGCCTAGGCATTCTGGTTGATGAGGTTAAACTGGTGTCCCAGGAAAAAGGCCCCATACAAACACACCACTGTGGGAACCTCTTCCCCAGGAGGAGAGGAAGCTGTGTGGTCACGGGTTCATTGAAATCAGTACTGTCTACTCTGACAGTTTGCAAGGGTCTCAGTCTGCGGTCCTTTGGTGCAGCCTAGGGTAACCATTTATGCAAAAGAAGACATTTGTTTCCATGTGCACATGCTCATTTACGTGTATAGATGCAAACTTAGAAACAGTTACTATAATTTTAAAAGAAATATAATACATCTCGCTGTAGCAGGGAAGATTGTGACATCTGCAACCCTGCTGCTCACAATGGCCGCCATGGACGATGCAGAATGATTGGGCCTGATCCTGACCTGATGATACACCTGTTCCAGATAATGGCCATGAGACTTACTTAGGATCCTGCAGAGCCCAGCTCAGCTCTCTCCCAGCCTTTGGAATCCCCTATTAGGGCCAGCAGCACCTCAGCATCTTCATATGCTCAGAAACCTATATTGGCATCTCTGCAGGTAAATTAACATCGTGTTAGCAGCACCCACGAATGGCTTGCCATACGAAGCAGCCTCCATGCAGTGGAAGTGAAAGAGTGAGGAGCTTCATTTAATGTGTGGGTGGCTCACCTCTCAAGCAAGGAGCAAGAGGGGAGCTATTCCTCAAGAGACCCATGTATACAATTGGTGTGAGTTGGCTCTGCTGGATTGAGGCCTTTTCTTCCTGCACTTTGTTATTCAATGGAAGCTCTTGGATTATCTGCCAGGGCATGCAGGGCACAACTGGGGCAGGATTTGTATATGTGTGATTAATATTTTGCAGATCTTGGGAGGTTGTGTTTTACGCATTTTATGGAAGACATACATTTTTAATTTTTTAATTTTTTTGCCGTGAAAGCTGGGTGTGGTGGTGAGAGATACATCTGGGTTGTGAAATTAATGGCTTTTTAAAAGCAGAGCATATTGGCTAAAATGAAATACCTCAGAAAAGCTCTGGAATGCCAGGTATGCATCTGTAAGATATTTTCTTCCCGTGTTATGTGTTGCTGTTATGTGTGGGGTAACACTGAACTCTTGACAGCCCAGCCAACAGCCACATATATTAAAATTGCACCCTGCAACACACTCCAGAAAACACAGCACCATCCCAGGGTGGGAGGGGGTGGAGGCAGATAAATCAATGTGAGAAGTGCTCTCTGGGAGTAGAAAGTTTTTTTTTAAAAAAAAAACCCTCTGCTGCAGATACTTAATTCTAGGTTCTTTGGATTTTAGTTTGGAGACTTGCTATCTGGCCAGACAAGGGGTGCCTCCAGATTGTCATTATTTTGTGGGAGGAATTTAAGTATATGCCAGACATTTAGGGTTGCAGAATTAAAATGGATTTAAGTGCTCTGTCACCATAGTGCAATGAATCTACTTTCACACACACACACACACACACAGAGAGAGAGAGAGAGAGAGAGAGAGAGAGAGAGAGAGAGAGTGTTTTGGCAGTTAGGAAATTGACAGTTAAATGCACTGAAAAGTGTGAGATGAATGCATGGTTAATGGGAAGACACAGAACTGGCTCACTCAAAAGGCAAGGTGAGATGACTGACTTGGATGGCAGGATCCACAGGGGCATCAAATCCAGCCTCCACGTAATGTTTTGTCTGCTGCTGATGCAGTGACGACAACAGCTGTGAGATGTTTGCCAGAGAGTGGATCTCCTCAGCAGCCCCCTCACTGCTACCCCAAGGTGGCCTCTCAACGAAGAGAAGGCATTGCTGGTCTCCTCTTACCCCCAGGGAGGAAATGGCAGGGGCTGCCCTATAGGGTCTCCTGGACTCTGCACCCACCCAGCAGGCCCCTTCTTCCCTCCTCCCTGGGACGGCCTTTGATTCCTACTTCAACCACTGGTTAAAGTTGATTTCATTTCCCCCACCTGTTTCCGACGTTGATTTTCACTCGCTCCTTCTTCCCTGGCAGAAGGCACACCATTTTTGTGATTCATCTCAGGTGTCCAAAGGTCTTGGGCCAACCCTGGGGGGACACATAAACACCCCAGGAGCAAATCAGGGTGAATGTGGGAGGAAGGCTCCTTCTCCTATAACCACGCTGTAAACAAATGAGAGAGAATGCTTAATTGTCTAACCATTGTGTGAGCTTTGTGCAAGGAAATAAAGATCAAATGCTCATGGTTGTAGAACCTCCCCACAAACAAATCAGAACAAATGCTCAATAAAGACTGGGGAAGTCTAATCTCTAATAAAGTCTAATGAGCAGGTTGTCTGGAGGAGCCTAATTAATCTACTGGGTGGGTGGGTGAAGGGGAGCATTTTATTGATAGCTTTTACCTGACTTTTCCATCAAAAATAGCTTTGCAGTGCTAGTGCATAAAATATCCTGTACCGTTTGTAAAAGGATGTTCTCAGTAAATGGAGAAGTAGTGTAGGAGGAATTTGAATGATTTGTTTTTCCCATTTCTGACACACACAAAGCCCCACAACATGGGCTCTCTCATAATCAAGGTGAGGAGCCAACAGCTCTTGGCAAATAACCACAGAGGCTAAGTGCATTTTGTTGTAAATGTTTATATTCTGCTGCTGAAAAAGTATGATAGGGGATGGGAGAGAGGGAGCAGGGTGTGTATGGCATGGCATTCAACATGTGTACTTGTCAAAAAAAGAAAGTGAGTGTTCTGAGGTGAGCCTCTGCAATGTTTTTCCTTTTGAAAATAGTGTGTGTTTGTGTGGTCAAAAAAGAAGAAAATATTTGAACCCAGGGGCTTCCAAGGGCCCTGAATAAACCTAAAAGGCGTATCAGTGAGGAACTTTTTTTCTGGCAGGGTTTCTGCCACTCTTTCAGCTATATGACATGCCAAATCTCAAGAGGGGCAATCTTTCCAGGAATCTTTCCTCACCCAAAGATGGTGGTACCTTCGTGTCAACCTTTACATGCTTCCTCGGCCACCGCTGTGCCTCCCACCTCTCCTTAGTACCACCTTAATCACTTGGAGGAAAGATGGGGTATCAGTGTTAGAATGATGCTGGTACCCTCTTCCGCCATCATTCCCTCTTTCAGTTCCCTGAGCAACATGCTACCAGGCAAATTC